ATTAGTCTAATTATTCAATGTGTAAAATAATTAGTTCCTCTCTGCCAAGTTTAATAGTCATCGTGATGATGTTATTCGAACTGAAGGCATTCTGTCTGCACCAGCAAACAATCGGTCAGTGTTACGTGATGGTACCCAAAAACTTCCAGATAATATCGCTGATATTATAAATGATTCTCAGTTTTGAATAGTATTAACTAATCTACAAGAGCTTTTATATCTCCTTTGTGGCTTTTTAAACAAGTTACAAAAAGATACTGCTCAACTATATGAAGTTCTTTATTGTTTCGGGTATATGATGAAAATATTTGAATGCTATCAAAACTTTGAGTTTGGAGAAAAAATAAAAAAATGTATCGAATCACATTGGAATGAATGAGAGCAGCCATTAATGATTCTTTCTTTTGCACTACATCCTCAATACAAGCTCACCAAATTCAACAGCATAAATACTAATCTATCCTGGACTCATATTGGCCAATGGCTCAAGTATTATTATGAGGCATGGTTTAATTCTAAACCTACCTCTATTTTAGCTGAATTAATTAAGTACAAGAGAGAGATTGATCCATATGATACTGAATCATTTATGCAATTTGATGGAAATTTAGTAGATTTTTGGGAATTAACTGAAGGCGTAGGTTCAGAATTAGCACGAGTAGCAATTCGTATCCATGGTATCTGTGTTAATTTTGCATCTGTAGAATGTTTGTGGTTTTCTATGGGGCTATTATATACTAACTGCCGAAATTAGTTGCAGGTTTAGTTATTCACAACCTAGTTGTTTTTATTAACTACCGTATACAAGATCCTCCAGATATCAGACCCTCTAAGTTTTATACCTGGGTCTATAACATAGATAGGATAAAATTTTGGTAAAATGTAAAAGACCCGGGTGTACGAATAGAAATAACCAGTAATTCAGTTATCCAACCTCTGATTATCAGACTTGTACCCATACAAGAGACCAGCGGGTCTATTAATAGGTTTTAAAGTTGGTAAAATGAAACAGACCTGGGTCTTGTATACGACAGTTCACAGTAATTATTTGATATTATTATTACTAAAATTTTTTTTTAATCTTTTTTTTTAAAAAAAAATCAAACAATCAATCATATTAATTAAAAATTTTTGATCAATTATTGATACAGGTATATAACGTTTAAAGAACTTCAGAAAAACAGGCAAATTGCAAATTAAAGGTAGTTTTATCTTATGTTTATATTTATTTACTATATTCATATTATAGTCAAAGAAGGTCTTGGCAATGAGTAAGATTCGAGGTGATATCCTTTGTTCCCACAAAATCAAAAATACAAAAGAATACGATAATCAAATCCGCCGACTACATATTGCAGCACCTATTTTGTCAGATGGTAAAATTGATGAGGAATTGACTATCACAGATTCGAATTATCAAGTGAGTGATAACGAAAATGAAAATAATATTGAAAAGGATGCAACTGCAAGGTCTAGTAATCGGACAAATCAAAATTTTGATGAAGGCTTAGTTACAGAAGAAGTGCAAAGTTGGGAAAATCTAATTAATGAATGGATTGAGTTTGGAAATTGTGAAAACCAATTTGAAGATCGGGATGATGAAATTTTTATAACAAGTGATTGGGATACAGATTTCAGTTTAGGGGGACGAGAAAAACATCCTGCTGATGACGAAGAAGCCAAATGGCCTTTAGATTCACTTTTTATTTCTTCTTTAGAAACACCTTTGTATTTCAGTTCAGAATTCACTTCCAATGAATAAGACATTTATTATTAGTATAAAAAAAAATTGGGTAAAAAAGACGGACATAGA